AAAATATGGACGGTCGTCGCGGTGAAACCAGCCTCTTGCTGACCTCCCGCCCCGCTCGCTACCCGCATCTCACCCCCCCTCGACCCTAATGTTGAAATCGTATTTTTCGGCGTGGATCCTCGCCTTAAGGAATAGTTATATGTATACGGTGAAATTTTACTAGTAACCGATAGCGAAAACTCAGAACTAACTGGTGATAAGGAACAACTTTCCCCAAGGAACAAAGGCCGAAATACGAAAAAAAATTTTGGCCTCCCAAAGGAACTCAAATAAGCTGTTCGGCAATTTTGTATGGGAGGTCAAAAGGTTAGGTCAAAGGGGAGGTTTTTTTCATATTTCGACCTATGTTCCTTGGGGAAAGTTGTTCCTTATCACCAGCCGGTTCTGAGTTTTCGCTGTCGGTCACTAGTAAAATTTCACCCCATATGATCAATGACCTATGCGCTGCTGAGACAAATCTAACGAATGTATTTACTTATGCAACCCATACATAAAATCTTCCGAAAAGCACTCTTCTTCAGAGGAAGAACAGTCCTCACCAATCGATATTATCGATATCGACAAATCAGTTATCGAGGGCGAGGGTACATCACATTTAAATTTTTCTTATTTTGGCATAATTGTTACAGCGCATGTCATGTCAGGCCACATGACAAGCTACGTCAGTCATAGTTAAGATATTGTTCTTTAAAGGACTTGGAACATTTTTGTATGAGAACTAGGCTCTTCCTCTAACTAAATATAAAATATCAAAAAATATTGATCAGCAGAATTGAATTGTATGAACATAGAACATAGTCATTCAAGTGTTTATATTTTACTATCGCGACATTTCTCTAGCATACGGGATATTCTTAAATCTTATTCTAAAATATGTGTGTCATGTAGGATGTGATTTGTTAGAAATATTCTAAAATAATATAAAATGACAGTGACTTATTTAGGGAACTCTTAGCTAGGTAAAATTACTATAGTGATTAAACAATATAGTGCGTGAAACCTAATTCTGGACACTGTACTTTACGGATTCAAACCTTAACCGCTGCGTCAAGAACTCTGCGAAAACCGTAAGTCACAAGAAGGAATACAACCTTTACTGTTATCGTTATATTTCTGTTCTTCCGACAGACATCATCATCATAACACTTTCATCCAGCCTTTTTTAGGGTTTCGTAGTCTACTAGAAACCCTTATCATTTTGGTAAGTCTGTCTGTCTGTCTGTCTGTATGCCGCGCCCTCATAACTTTGTCAGTTTTGGAGCAATCGACATCAAATTTGGTGTGAAGATATATCGTGTCGAACCAAATTTAGAAATGATGAGAAAAAAATATTTTTATTGTTTTTAAGGGGTGGTTTCATTGAAGCAAATTCTCTAAAATGTTTCTGTCTCGAGATATTTGCTTTTAAAAGGGGCGTTTTTGAGCCATAATTTGTTCCAGCTGTAACTTCTAAAGTATGCATGCTAAAAATTTGAAAAAAATATGGAATATAGTTCTTAATATGAAGTTACCATGAAAACTATAACGAATCCTGTACCACTTAAGATTAGGGAAATCTTAAATATTTCCAATTTGCGGTTGGTAACCATACAGCTGCAAACAAACGAACAACAAAATTAACTTTGTAACGCTGAAAGATACTTAAACGTTGACTGATTACGAAACCCTATTTGTGAGCGTGTCTGACACGCTCTTGGCCGCTTTTTTTTTTAATTTGACTTAATGTCGTTCCATGTCGTGAAGTCATTCTTTTTGTTTTCATCAGTCAGCTACCAGTACTAGCTATGAACATGCAACAGACGATTTACCTGCATCATAGACCTGAAGACGGTGTTTTGTCTTTTAATACTTCATTATTTTCTATTTCTACTCACATGGAGGTTTATCATGCATAATAATAATATCATCTGTCAAGCACTTTGCCTGCGGTTTTACTTGCGGTTTTTAACTGCTTAATCTAATCACAAAGTTTGAAACAAATTGCATTAAAAATCCTTGATTGACCTACGGTAAAACTAGTTACCCGTTTAGTTTTTTTTTATTGTAAGGCATTGTTTTAGCTGGGAAGGATGCGCAAGTGGATAAGTTTACCTTTTAAGCAAATGGGTCTCCCTTAATTAAGTCTTCAATGGACCAGTAGCTTTTCCAGGCATTTTCTATTCGCGCTTGGCGTTAAGCGTAAAATAGAACTAAAACAGTTAGTGGTTTTGGATAGAGACTATGTATCTAACTGTTCTAGTTCTATTTTACGCTTAACGCGCTTGGTTATGAGTTTATAACCTACTATTTAAGCTACCGTGTATATGTCAGTTTCTGGAATAATTGCTCTTAAGTCTAGGTAAAAGCGGATTTCTTTGCTTGCACCAAGTTTTATGGAGGAAGCTTGCTCAACAGACTGTAATTTTAAACTAATTCAAAAATAGTTACATATGTTTCATCTATTCCTTGTAGGCGAAGAGCATTGACGGCGGAAGGCTTTAGCATAATCAACAAGTGTTTAAATGCAGCTGTTTGTAGTATTCTGTGCCGTAATATGAATACGTAGTAACAAAATTTGATTTTTCTAGGAATTATGCTACACATTAGAGAAATGTCAGTATAGTAATAAATTAACTCCTTACTATGTTCTCCTAATTGACATACATCACAAACCTGTTGGTCAATATTTTACCATTTGTTAGCTTTGGGGCACATTTTGACCATCATCCTTTCCATCCATGAAAAGCAAAATATTTCGGGTGTTATTTAAGCAGTAAGCAAAAAAATGCTATTTGTAATGCTAAAAATTTACTTTGTTAGGCAGACATTGCTATTTGTTAAGCAAATCTTGGACAGTAAATATTTCTGAACAACAATATATTTTATCAGACATGTGAACATAGGTAATAAGAAAACTTCAAAGCGCGTGTCATACGTATAAAAATTTTGTTATACGATTACACCATAACCATAACCATAACAGCCACACCAGTCCACTGTTGGACATGGGCCTCCCCCTATCGGGGGGTATTGCCATACTCACCACGCTTGGCAGGCGGATTGGCGAGCGCAGTGCCAAGATGTCGCATTTACAGGGAACGCTGCTGCCCATTCCCTGGATAAATATCCCTTAGTCGCTTTTTACAGCACCCACGGGTAGAATTGAGGTGATGCTATTCTAAGCCGGCATCACACGGCAATACAGCACGTAATTTTTTTTTATATTTGAATAGCAACTTAATAATCAATCAAATATGTCGAGGTTGAGCCTCAAAAAATCTCTTCCGTCCAAATAAAATGAAAACCAAAGTACTTGCTAAGCACAATATTATCCGTGTCAGAGGCCATGTCAATCATGTCGATGGGTGTGCTCAACTATACTTACAGTCCAGCAAAAAAGAGTACCTAGACAAAAAATGAGAGCGCCACTGTGTAAGAAATTTCAATATTATATGGCAACATTGACTATGGATGGCAACAATTTAGTATGAAATTTTTTTATTTCCATTTAATTTAATTTCTACTCTTTTTTGCTGGACTGTAAATATATCAGAAGTCAGGCCTCTGTCATGTACTTAATAATGTCAGAGGCCTACTTTACCATATTAGAGGCCTAGTCAACGTTTAGATAACCTTAACAGAGGTCTCCTGGTTCGTCAAGTCGTTCGTCGACCTAATGTACCTTAGGTAGGATAGAAGAAATGAGAGATTGCCCGCAAGACACTTAAGCTGCTTGTAAAAACTTGCTTCTCAAATTATTATTTTGCTGCCCCCATAATCACTTAATATTATTTGCAGCCCTAATGTTATTTTTCGGACTAAGTTATTACATTGTTGCCCAAAGTTTGAAAGTCGCTTTTTTTCGCTAATCAAAATTTATGGCAAACCAATAATTATTTCTCTTTTTGAGAGACGCAATCTCTTTGGTGACTGAGAGTTGTGTCACGCCGTGGATTGTCACGGCACGGCGTCGTGGTCCGGCACGGCGCCGTGCCGTGGCACGACACGACGTCGCGCCGTGTCACGGCGTACACCGTGACGTTCCACGGCGCCGGCGCCGTGCCGGAGCTATGTGGACACGCCGTATAGCTACATATACCTACAACGCTTTAACCACCTGTAAAAAAATAGGACAAATTTGTATACAGGGTGTAACAGAGAGGGTATAACAAGGCGAATGGAGGTCAAGGTACTCATGAAACTGTAAAACTTTCCCCATGGAACATATCTCGAAATATGAAAAAAAAATTTGCTCATAGTAGATCGATCAGCATTTGTATGGGAGGTCAATTTTTTTTTACATTTCGACCCATGTTCCATGGGGAAAATTGTTCAGTTTCATGAGTACTTCGATCTCCTTTCGGCTTTTTATACCCTCTGTTACTCCCGTTATAGTGTAAATTTTATCATAACCAATTTATTTCCTCCCCTTTGAAAAGTTTAAACGACGAAAACTTAAAAGAAAAATGGAACATAATTAAATGACAGTGAGTAAGAAACTAGACACGACAGTGCAGTGTTACTATGGAAACTGGTAGTGTCGGTTTGCGGCGAGTTGTGCGTGAGAGTTGGGCATCATGGCGGTGCGCGGGCGAGTAGGCGCGCGTGCCGGCGAGCGCAGTGGGGGCGGCATGGCGAGCTCCATCAGGCATCTCGGCTCCACGTACCACCACGAGCGGGAGAAAGAGGCCGAGCCGTCCGTCAACTCGGTGAGTTTTCCGTCGCCATAATAACTAGCATCTTTCTTCCATGTGACTGCATATGCGAGGAAAAAATAACTTAAACCATTCAGTGAGAGCCATGTGTGAGTGTTGCCATAAAAATTTCAAACAGTTATTTGTTGCCAGTCTGGCTAGGACATTGCTTAACAATCTATTGGGATTTTGATGCACTCACAGTGCTATATTATTCTCACAAGTGAAAATAAGAAAATAGAAAATAAACACTTTCTACAGATGTCGCTGGATCGTCGCTTCAAGACGAGCATCAAGAGATAGAAAATTTGGCATCCATCGGCAGGTACATCGATAGCTCAGTGGCAGAGCGGTGGGGCGTTTACCCACGCGGCCTGGGTTCGATTTCCGGTCGATGTATGACATTTTTTCTATTTTCTTATTTTCAATTGCTTAACCACTTTATTTTCAGAAAATAAATATAATTCCGTTCTTCGGAGGAAGAAAACTAAGGTAGCTGTCGTTACGTAACACAACAAACGCTTACTAGTAGTAGTAGGGGGTTCGAAAACTCTGACACCAGGGTTTATCCGGCCGTTATACTCTGTGTTTCACTCCTATACGATAAAAAAAGTTGCAATGAAAAACACCCACCAAGTAAAAAGCAATCGCGCAGAATATAGAACTCGGCGAGGTGAGTTTCATTTTCTGGAGTAGGTACCTAGCGTGAAGACAATACCTTTTCTTTTAATATTTTCGACATCAAACAATCACTTACCCATACCTGCTTGTATCGCCAGCATATCAACTTATACTGACATTTCATACATATACGAAGAAAAACCAGTAAAAATTGTTTCCTTAAAAAGGTAGGTTGATATGCTGGTGATGTAATAGGTAGGTATGTTAAATCAAAAAAAAAATTGAGGAACAATCTATTCTGTGTTAAGTAATTTTTATTTCTCTGAGTGTTTTTATTAATCTTGACCTATGTACAGTTTAAATATACTTACATAATTGTCTGGGGTTTTTTAAGACTAAACTCGGGCTCAATCTCACTAGCATCATTCTAAATGAGACAATAAAATGTGTCCCAACGCACGAACAAAGACAAATACGAAGAAAATACAACTCTAACGTCTGTATATAAGAGTGTTTTGAACAGCAGCTGAAGAAATAATTAGTCATGAAATCCGAGAGGCATTAGAGATCCAGCAAAGCATTAGATCCTCTTGGAATCCAATAAAAACTAAGTGGAGTTTCTTATTGCAGTAGCTTTTATTATTGTTTTTTGTTACGTAATATAATATTGTCATATTTCTTTTAGCTGTTCCTACCGAAAAGCTGAACGAAAACACGAGATTTAAATCTGACGATGTCAAGTTTATGAGACAAAATATCAGATTTCGAATAAGTCTAGGGTAGTGGGACCTCAGAGGATGAAATACTATAGTACGACAAGTTCGTGCGCGACCTTCCCTAGGGGTGACAGACGTTGGGGGGGGAGATGTCAGCGGGTAGCGGAAGGTGTAGCGGGGAAGGGAGACGCGCGCATCCGCGCCGCACGTCATATTAAAATGACGTGCTTCCTCGCCCCCCAACCGTCTGTACCCCGCAGGAAGGTCGCGCACGAACTTGACGGACTATAGTGACCGATAGAGAAATAGGCCATTCTGTGGGGAACCTATAGCAAACATTGATTCGCAAAAGGTGGGGCGGATTATGTTTTTGCATAATCTTGTAAAGGTATTAAGGACAAATAAAACCCCAAGTTTTCGACCTCGAGACTCCCAGGCTCCAGCCGCCATCTTGAATTGAAAGTTCTTAAAACAGGTTTTTTGCGAATAACTTGTTAACAATTGATTTTATGACAGAAGTATGTATGAAAAGAATAAAGAAAATATTATTTCCCAAATTTCATTCATACATGTATACTAGCTAAGTCTAACAGGTAAAAAGATATAGGCAAAAACAAACATATTTTTATTAAAAAGTTAAGTACACCGCACAAAATGGGGGTAGAAAAAAATATGCGTGAATTTTTCTTTTTTTTATATGTTCTCTCTCCCGCCACTGTACAGAAGATCTCCCGGACTCAGATATAGACGAAATCGGGGCGGCTCTCAGACAGCTTAAGAATGGGAAGGCTCCCGGGGAAGACGGAGTGGCCTCTGAGCTACTTAAGGCCGGTGGAAAACCTGTTCTCGAGGGGCTGAAAAGGCTTTTTAACTCTGTAATAGCCAATGGAACAATCCCGAAGGCGTGGAGCAGAGGTGGCATTGTTTTTCAAAAAAGGAGACAAAACGTTTCTCAAAAACTATAGGCCGATCACACTTCTGAGCCGCGTCTATAAGCTGTTCTCGAGAGTCGTCACGAATCGTCTGGCATCAAGATTTAACGCCTTTCAGCCAGCGGAACAGGCCGGGTTTCGTAAGGGCTTCAGTACCGTGGACCACATCCATACTGTAAGACAGGTTATACAGAAGACAGAGGAGTACAACCAACCACTGTGTATGACTTTTGTGGACTACGAAAAAGCCTTCGACTCTATCGAAACCTGGGCTGTTTTGGAGTCCTTGCAGCGGTGTCAAGTCGACTGGCGGTATGTAGAGGTGCTGAGAAGCCTTTATCAAATGGCTACGATGTCCGTTCAAGTACAAAATCATAATACAAGACCCATCCAACTGCTCCGTGGTGTAAGACAGGGTGACGTTATATCTCCAAAACTCTTCACCAACGCATCGGAGGATGTCTTCAAAACGCTACAGTGGGATGGACTGGGCATCAACGTCAACGGCAAAAATCTCACGCATCTCCGCTTTGGCGGCGACATAGTCATAATGGCCGAATCGCTGCAGGACCTACAAAAAATGCTATCTAGTCTCAACTCTGTCTCGAGACGTGTTGGACTTGGGATGAACTTGGATAAGACGAAGGTCATGTTCAATCAACACAATCCCGAGCCCGTCTCCGTCGAAGGTCCAGAAATATGTGTACCTTGGGCAAACTTTGCAGATGGGAAGAGACAACTTTGAGGCTGAAATCACCAGAAGAGTGCAGCTTGGCTGGGTAGCATTTGGAAAGCTGCGTCACATCCTCGAATCATGTTTGCCACAATGCCTCAAGACCAAGGTGTTCGATCAATGCGTCCTACCAGTCATGACCTACGGAGCCGAGACGTGGAACTTGACAGTAAAACTGGCCCACCGGCTACATGTCACTCATAGAGCTATTCTTGGTATCTCTATAATGAATAAAGTCCGGAATGAGCCCATCCGAGAGAAGACCAAAGTGATGGACATAGTCTGGAAGTGTAGCAAGCTGAAGTGGCAGTGGGCTGGCCACATTTGTCGTAGAACCGACGGACGGTGGAGTAAGCGGGTTCTCGAGTGGAGGCCACGCCTCGGCAAGCGTAGCGTTGGACGCCCTCCGGCCAGATGGACCGATGACTTAAAAAGGCGGCTGGTAGCGACTGGATGGCAAAAACGGGAGATCGTGCCTAATGGCGTTCCCTGGGGGAGGCCTACGTCCAGCAGTGGACTGCAATAGGCTGAAATAGAATAGATAGAATAGTTACGTATTATGGTGTATTTAAAAAAATATGTGACGGGTGAAAACTTTCTATGTCTAATTCGGAGATAATGGCGTTTATGATAGATAAATGACATGACAGCCAATAAAAAATAATGAAAAAAAAATGTATATCTAGTTTTTATGGTATATGAGTTTGAATGTATGTATGGACGACTAGCAAAATATACTTTTAATTTGAATAACAAAAACACTAGACATAGAATGTTTTTTTATTTCATCATTTTTTTGTAACTGTCATGTCGTTTATCGAATGAAAAAATAACTCAGGTTAAACTATTTTTTTCCCCAAAAATATTGACGTTGTGCGAAATATCATAGAAACCATAAGCCAGCCAGGATATCTTTGTATAGAAAAAATGTCGCGAAACAATCTGTTAATAAATTTCAAAAGTAAAAAATTACAGTTTTTATTGTAAAAAGGTGAGAAAATCGACTTATTTGAAAACTGGCGAATTTTGCCATTTGTATGTTGGGAAGTCGTCCACATAAACGCCATTATCTCCGAAACCAGACATAGAAAGTGTTCACCCGTCACATATTTTTTTTAATACACCATAAAACGTAACAAATTAAAAAAACTAGAAAAATTCACGCATATTTTTTTCTACCCCCATTTCGTGCGGTGTACATAACTTTTTAATAAAAATATGTTTGTTTTTGCCTGTATCTTTTTATGTGTTAGACTTAGCTAGTATACATGTATGAATAAAATTCGGGAAATAATATTTTCTTTATTCTTTTCATACATACTTCTGTCATAAAATCAATTGTTAACAAGTTATTCGCAAAAAACCTGTTTTTAGAACTTTCAATTCAAGATGGCGGCTGGAGCCTGGGAGTCTCGAGGTCGAAAACTTGGGGTTTTATTTGTCCTTGATACCTTTACAAGATTATGCAAAAACATAATCCGCCCCACCTTTTGTAGGCGAAATATCCCTACAGATTGTACTAAAAATGCAGGACGAGCTGGTGATAAGGAACTACTTTCTCCAAGGAACAAAGGTCGAAATATGAAACAAAAACATTTGAACCTCCCATAGTAACTCAAATCAGCTGATCGGAGATCTTGTATGGGAGGTCAAATTTATTTTTTCATATTTTCCACCTAATATAATCCGAAGTATACAGAAAAATGTGTTTAAGTGGTAAACCAGCCAATGAAACTGAACAACTCTACCCATCTAACATACGCCAAAATATGAAAATAGTGCGCTCTCGTAGTTAATCCACCGCAGCCGGCCTACACATTTTGTATGAGGGCATTTTGTATAATCCTTCGATAAACTTTTTTAGTACCTAAACCTTCACAAACTATCAAATTCTAACGGTACAGTCAGCAAAATAATGGTTACTTAAATCTTTGTTTGTTTTAATAGCGAGGAAATACAGCTATTATTCCAGTTATGTGTCCTAAAACTCGAAACTCACAACAAAATTACGACTCAGCAACTTTATTCATACCACATTCAGACACAAATTTAATAACTATCATACGAGGTGTAAGGGAAGGAGGCTGCAGACACGGTGAATGCAGACTATGAAACTGAACATCTTTCCCCTTGGAACGTAATGTCAGCAAACGACCAAAAAATCTAGTTTCCGTACGAAATAACGATCAGCTGCTTTCCAAAGTCAAAAAGGAAATCTTATTGGAAGTTGTTCAGTTTCATGGTCTTAATGCACCCTCTCAATATTCGAATACCTGTCCTAAAACACCCTGTATTCCACAATTTCATTCAATTCGAAATGTTTGCAAAAGTGCTACATCGGCGTAGCACTCGTAGCACTTTTCTACGAGCAACAAAAATAAACTTTTATATAAATAG